GTGGAGGCGGGGGCGGGGGTGCGGGCGCCGAAAAGATGGCGTTAATCGTCTTAAACGCTCCGTGCTCGCTGGCGTGTGCTAGGAAGCTCCAACTGTCGCCGAGTCCGGTGACTTCCGACCGAGATCCCGACTTCCAGATCCCTCTCCTCGCATCCCTTTGACTCATGCCCCACTTTTTCCCGGCTCCCTTCCCCGACCCCGCCACTCCTATGCTCTTTTCCAGTCCGTATCGAAGAAGCTAAATAATATTACCAGAGTTAGCTGAGATATTTTCGTAAAATGGAGCTTTTGCGTGCCACAGGAATGGGTCAGTTCACTGAAAAAAGTTCGGTAAATTATGGAACCACGATTTTGTTCGGTACACACAACCAAATTATTTGGTCTGTTCAAACGAATCGTTCGGTTTGTGCGACCGAACCATAATAAATTCTTACAGTTCGATTCATTGGACCGAACAGTTCGGCTGAGCAGACCGAATAATTCGGTCGTGTGTACCGAACAAAATCGTGGTTCCATATTTACCGAACTTTTTTTTCAGTGACGCTGGGCACAGAATCTTGTTTTTAAGCTTAATCCTTGTAGAAAGCTGAAAAAAAATAAGATCTGTCCAAACAGCAGCTTTCTCCGCTCAATATTAACCGAAATATTGCGCTTTGAAAAATTCGAGAAATGACGTCATCCACCGCGGTGGTGACACCCTTGGTCTCTTCCTTGCTTTCATTTGTCACAGAGACATACATTTTTACTGGTTACTTGACGTGAGACTCGGATGGAAGCAAGGTGGAAGAGACCAAGGGTGTCACTACCGCGATGGATGACGTCATACACCGAATTTTTCAAAGCGCGATATCTCGGTTAATATTGAACTTAGAAAGTTGCTGTTTGGACCGATCTTATTATTTTTGACTAATCTAACAGAATCAAGCATTAAAACACGATTCTGTGACCAGTGCAGCTAACCTATTTGCAATAGAGTCCTTTTTCTTGTGTTAAATTTTGTAAAAAAACGCATATGATGCTTCTTGTTTTTTCTAAAAAGAACTCTTTAGCTAATGTCAAACGATCAAATCTAGCTGTCAAAATATCAAGATCCGGTTTGTGATTGGCGTATTTGATGACTTGGACCAATCACAACTAATGAGTTTGATATATTGATAGCACGATTTGATCGTGTGACAACTAACAGCTCTGAGCTCGAGAAAAGATCTCAGAGTTGAAGACGAAATGGGAATAGTTGCCTACGTCACGATGAGAATCCACCTCCATATCCACAGTCAAACTCTTCATGCAAAGATAGGGAGAAAATACATTCGTAGTGTGATGGTCTTCGAGTGAAAATTCTAAGACTGGAACCACGGTGACCCTGGTTTTTTTTACCGACTACAATTTAGCACTGGGCTTGCCAAAGCATCTCAATCGTAAACCTAAAGTAGCGCAACCAATACTTGGAAATTCCTTCAAACTGTAGGGTAGGTAAACAGATTTGACATGACGTGCGAGTATTTATCGATTCAACTTCACGTTGAACACGCTCTTGAATGAAGTGTACAGCGGTGGAAATGAATACATTCTTTACATTATGTCTTAATCTGGAAAAGTTAATTTTTACTATTGAATTTAGAGCAAATCTAAGTGGATTAATTCTTTCTGCAGTAAATAAAGTAAAATTTTTACAGACAAAATACAAGTTTAAATGTGATGGATATTTTGATCGTGGAAATTATTCAGAAAAAATGGAATGGAATCAAAATTCAAAATCTTGGCCGGGCAAGACTGAAGTGGAGATGTCGCACGCAATTAGTCAAATCAGGCATTTTATCAAATGCTGAGGCAGATAGTCAAATGTTTACAGTTTATGAAAATTTGTAAATTCATGGCGAAGACCTAACGATTTTTCAATATTTTGAGAAAAATAAATCATCAAATATACGAACTCTTCTTGTTTCTTCCTCTTCAAATGCCTTTCATTTATTTAAATGTTAAAATTTTAAAAGTTCTGTTTTTTATGACATGCTGATAACTGTATGATGAATGCTCATTCAAGAACTAAAAATCGTTTAAAATATTATTTCACGATCCATATTTCTACAGAAAATCCTTATTTACTAAGAAAATTAATTATAATCCATTCATTTAGAAAAAGAGTCAGAATCGCATTCCACGTAAGAATATTTGACTATTTGCCTAGGCATTCGACAAAATGCCTGATTTTACTGTTTGCATTCGACGGATACAGCCAGCTATAACTCGGATAGACAGCAACGCTGTTAGTGTATTTTCCTCACTTTTGGTGGTTCACGTGATATGACGTCAAAGCCAATCAATGACATTCCAAAGATAGCGATGCCTCTGGCGCTATTTTTACTCTCATTGAAGAATAATGTGCGGTACGCACGTGGATGGTGTTTGTTAAAATTAAAACTAAGCTGCATCAAAACTCATTCTGAGGTTCTGCTCTCTTAAGTCATTGATCTGTGTGTCAGGTTGAGGTTGTAATTTATTCTGGTGAAGCCTCAGGTCTATATCCTGAACATTTTAATGTAAGTCATCATCATTTTCTTACAAAGAACACTTGCATTTTTCATCTCGACTCCTTTGATGTGACTCATAGCGTCGTGTCTTCGACGCAAGGACGTATTTCAGTTTCCACGTAATCCCTGGTCTTCATATAACTCCATAATTTTCAGAGCTCACGCGGAAATTAAGATACGCCCTTTTGTCGGAGCCCTTTAGCGGTACAAGGGTATGCTACAAAGAGACATTTTCCTCACTGAATTGCGAAAGCTAGTAGCTTTTTGCCCGCTTCCGTTAAACGCTGTCAATATCACCCGTTCTAAGAAAAATGTCGATTGAATTTTCTGTTTTTGCTGTAACCAAGAAAGAGAAAAAAGCACTATTCTAGTCCCTTCTTTCAAGAAAACCATGTGAAGAATATAAAAAAACCACCATTCCGTCGTGCTGAGGAAAAACGCCGTATGAACATTCGGGAGTTGCTAAATTGCCCTTGATAGAACATGTATTTTTGACGACATTCATGCATATTTTTCTTCGAAATTCTCAGATACTTTAGATTGAAGTGCGTACAAAATTTTCTGAAAATTTTGGAAACAAATATCCACAAATTTCCCAGTAATTTTGGTTTTTATGGGAGAAAACTTGGCAACGTCAAAAGGCTCATACGGCGTTCTTCCTTAGCACGGCAGCATTAATGTTGAGTTGCACCAACTCAGCGGGAGGCGATGGAGGTAGCGCACGGTAGGCCGGTAGGCGCAGACTTTGACTTTGCGTTTCGCAAGTGGAATGAGTGAATCCAGATAATTTTATTCATATCGCCAATTACCTATTGGTAACCTAGACGCTCCATACTATGCCACCGCGGCGTGCTGGACCATTAGTCTCTTTCCCTTTCGGATCCCCCCCCCCCCCCNTCATGGTTGGCATTCAATGAAAGAACGCGTTTCTGCATCCGAGCATGTGCGCGCACTCGACGCACTAGCGGAAAATAGCCTCTTGCTTCACCGCGCTGACGTCCTACGGAAAAACGCACTAAGAACTTTCGGACGTAGCCTGATCTCCTTTGCCAAAACACGAATTCCCCGGAAAAATTGTCGATTTTTCCCCTCAAATAATTTAGCGAGTGTTATTTGCAATTTTATAGATTTTAGACGCAAAAACCAAGCCAAATTTTTCATAAATTGTCTCAAAAATAATACTTTATTGAAAGAGATTTGGCAATGTTCTAATCTTTACACGACGTATTTCCTCAGAGTGATTGCACTGAAAATTGATTTAAATCAATTCAAAGTTCCTGGTCTGTTCCGGCTCAGCACTTCTGAGTTATGAAAAAAGGGGGGAAAAAATGGTTAATAATTTGTGAAAATCACAAATTTGCCCGTTAATTAACGGTCACCGATAATTTTCCTACATTTTATCAAATTTCTAATGCTGTTATCCATCTTTTGACGAGAAATAAACTATTTTTAAAAATTATTCATATATTACGCTAGGTTGTGCTGAATAGAGCGTGTAATATGTGTGTATTTTTTACGTTGAAAATTGAAATTTTTGACCAAAACTTTCAAAAACTTTTAGAAATTGGCTTGCGGCATTAATTGTTACGTGACGTCAAGCAATGCCAGACCTTCTTCCTTGCCCCTTCATGTCATGCGCGGGCCAAACCACACCCCTGCTTTTATTCCATAAAACAATTCAATAGCCAACTCTACTGACCACTAACGGTATCGTTAAGCTGGGAGTTATTTTGGCTGCAAAAAAAATAAAGCACTAATGAAATCGAGGAGAACTGTTTTTATTGAAACATTCTATCGTCAAATATCTGAGAGGTGTTTTTAAGAGCTTGACAACAAGCTTTCAAAAAAGTATGGTACAAATATAAAAAAATAGCTTTAGAAAAAAAAACATGCGATGAAAAAGGAAAATTGTTGCTCCAATCAGACAAACTTTATAAATTACAGTTTTCCTTGCAGTTGAGGTCAGAGGAACTAAATAAGCAATTATACAACATTATACATGTATACCTTATATTTATGTCTTTTTTTTTTAATGTACATACATTCCGGAAAGAATAAGTTCCATCCCAACACAACATTTTTGCCTTTTGTTTAAAATGAAAAAAAGTTACAAGTATAGTTTTCTTTTTGGTATTAAGTTTTATGCAGCCGGTCCAGTGGTTTTATTTTGAAAATTTCAGATGGAGGGAAAATTCATAAACCTTTTGAGAGAAGCTGATCGTCACTTCAAAAGATTTTATAATAATCATCAACATTTTGATGATAGTGGAGAATCTCGGTGACAGCTAGCAATTAAAATGTGCCGGATGTGTATCATGAATATAGATAGCTATAAAATAAAATTTGAAACTGAAAATAAATGTGTGCTTTATAAGCTATCCATTCACAGTGTAATTAATGGTATATAATGAATTTATGATATATAAAATAAATGATTCAATAATAACTGAACAATTTGTGATCAAGAAATAGAAAAAAATCTCAGAATCGTCTATGAGTACATGAGTAAAGAAAAAAGAACTCGGGCTTATGACAGAGTCATGGAGAGTTCGGATTTAAACTTTCTATTAGAGATTATAATTTGCTGTTACAAACTGCGATTGTTTTGTAGGCTAAAGGACGTAGAATCAAGTTCTACCTATGAAACTGCATGCTTGGTTTTGTACTAATAACATTTCAAAGAGAAGGCTCTTTCTTTACACAATTAACAATCAGATGAATAAAAAAGAAAAAATATTTGGTGATGCAGTGTTTCCATTTTTTAAAAACAATATTTCCGCCTTAAGATTGAACATAAAGGAATTTTATTCTTACAAACTTACGTTTTGGCACTTTTAGAGTACTTAAATTTTGTAATCAATCAAAGGAAGAGAGGGAAAAAGAACCGCTAAAGTTTTAGTGGAAAATGTTTTACAACCCCTAAATTTAGAGTTCCGTAGGTAAGGTAGACGACTTTTTTCATTTTTTCTCGAGCGAGCCCTGCATGAACCGAGTTCAGCAAGAAGAGACTGATTTCCTTGGTTCACTTCAAAAACAGCTCACCTGCCATTGATCTTCCTATGCAATTAGATCACTGCAATAAACGTGCCCTGGTAGTTACTTGGTCTCTTCCTTTTATTGAACTCGATCCAAGTAACGTAACCATTCCCGAAACTCTTGTAAGGCGGATATGAGATAAAGTCGGTTTTTTTTTACAATATTCAACAGTCATGATTCAACACTTCAACGGTCAGGGCAAAATACAACATGGAAAAACAACATGAAAGAAACGGCATGGACATGTATAAGTCGACAACGCGGTTGAGGAGCAACAATGAAGGTCTAAAGTTGGTGTGTGAGTGACCCGATTGAGATGAATGCCATTAGTTGGTGCTAGTCCCGGTAAATCGTCGTGGTAAGGGGAGTCTTTGCGAATCGAAGGGGTAGAAGAGGGGGTCCACCTGGCTACTAGAGGCGTCTGTCTCGGGTCCCAACTCTGGATTCGATCCCGAGTGAGGCCTGTCATTTCTATCGACGAAAGAGAGCTGAAACAGAAGGAAAACATCGTCATCAGAGAAAGAATCTTAATGAATCTTAGTCAGTTTTTAAAAGTTTTTTGTGCAAAAATTAATTGTTTAGAAACAAGGAAAAACACTAGTAATATGGCCCGAAACTGTACGTAACAAAATGGAAAAATGGTGCTGGGTCCACACCATTTCGCGGGGAAATTAAAGCCGAGGAATTCTAAAAATTAGAATTAGAGTCAACAATTTTCTTTAACTCTAATGAGTTTTTGGAGCGAAATGGTGTGGACCTAGCACCGTTTCTCCACTTTGTTAATTTTTTTAGAATACCCAGAAACGGAAACCTCACACGTATGACGTAAAACAGTTCTTTTAAGGATTTTTTTTTAAAAAAATTGACGCTTTAAGAGTCAATGCCACCAATGGTATGCAGCGTCAGAGAATTGAATTTGAGTGAAAAGTGCGAAAATTATTCCGTCCACGGCGCAGGCGACCAAGAAAAGCGAAACTGAAGATCCACAAAACTGCTTTGCCCGAAAAAAACGCCCTAGAAACATTTAGATGTTGCCAAGTTTAGAAAAGTAACATATATATTTTTGCGGAAAGTTACGAATGTTATCTCTTGAAATTTACACTCAATTTAGAATATATTTTGAATAACATTCACTATTAAATTCGAAGGCAAATAGCCCCAAGTTTTCCCGGAAATCCACGGTACAAAATGAAGAATTTGGCAAGGCGCAAATTTTCAAACGTCGTTTTTCCTCGTCGAAAGAGAATGGGTTATTAAAACTTGGGGCAGAGACGGTGGTGGGCCGGCCCCTCGTCCGATCACAAAGGTGTTGAAATGAAATCAAAGAAAGTGTTAAGTTGCTCACATTAACGATCGAATTATACAGCGTTCCGACGCGGACGCTGCATAATATGAGTTATTAGAGGGAATTAGCCAGTGATCTCCGCAGATCGGCCATTATTGTCACTGCTAATTCCAATGATCCGCCGTTTGTGATTTCACGGTCTCGGCCGTCGCCGCGCTCTTCTCGAGTGAGATGTCGCGAGATTTCCAAGTCTCATCTTCGTCTCTGTCTCTACTGGACGTATTTCTACAAAACGGAACTATGGGCATTGAGACGTGCGTCCTGGGAACCAAAAGAATATATGCATAGCAGGGCCCACGTCATAATGCACATAGCTCCGTTTGACAGAAATACGTCCAATTCGCCTAGCCCTTGGCGATATAACCGTCCCAAGAGAAAAAAACAGAGCCGTATCAACATTAAGACGTCGCCAAATTGGACTTCTTTATCATTGAACAGTGGAAAAAGTCTCTTGGATCTAGAGTCCAGACTCTTAAAAAAATTTACAAGAAAAAATACTCTCGATTCAATCGGATTTTTTATTGAATTAAAAGGATATTCGCTTATATATAAGAGGCGTGGCTCGTTTCAAGCAAAAATCCGATCGAATCGAGAATATTTTTTCTGATCGACTTTTTTAAGAGTCTGGACTCTGGATCCAGGAGACTTTTTTTCCTGTCATTTTTCTCCTTGTTTTTTTCTCACGCCTTCGAACTTCTTATTCAACAGATGAGACACGATGGTAGCTTACTGTCCGTAACGGAGATGTTGCATGTGTGAGGGATTTGCGATTTGACTGTTGATTCTTCTGTAAAAGTTCGCGAGAAACACGATGGTGCCACTGGTTTTCTCTGAAATCAACTCCCAAGCCCAAAGAAAAGCTCTCAAAGTGAGGCCAAAATGGAGGGGATATCCCATCCTACCCTAAGAGTCCACCTCCACATCAAGACAAACTCTCCATGCAAAGATAGGGAGCAAATACATTAGCAGGGTTGCCGTGTTTTCAGTTTTAGAGCCCCCAAATAAAATGGCAGCCCTGTCAATGTATTTGCTCCCTATCTTTGCATGGAGAGTTTGTTTTGATGGGGAGGTGGACTCTCAGGGTAGGGTGGAATATCCCCTCCATTTTGGCCTCAACTTGAGAGCTTTTTTTGAGCTTGGGAGTTGATTTCAGAGAAAAACCAGTGGCACCATCGTGTTTCTCGCAAACTTTTACATGAGAATCAACAGTCAAATCGCAAATCCCTCACACATACAACATTTCCATTGTAGCTATGCAGTGAAGCACACACAATGTCAATACATGGCAAAATATTTTCGATTTGGAAACATAATGTGCGTTAGTCATCCTGGAGGGCAAGTGAGATGCCCGCTAATATTTAGGTTGGCGACAGGCCATGAGCCGTAGTTTGAATTCGAAACTCATGGCGCTGTTCTTGTTTCTTCTACATAGAGATCCATGCGACGACGCGAAAATAACACTGCATCCTTGCAACTCCGTCTTTCATGAGGTCATATATCTGAGCGCACTCAAACAAAATAAGTCCACCCTCACAACATACGCCTTGAAAATAGACGAATGTGCAACAGTTCAGGACTGATGTTGATAAGTGAAGGATCATTCGGAAAAAGGCACACATTAATCTATCGCTGCTAAAAGTGTGCAGCGTTCAATGGTTTAATATGTGTTTTAGTTGGTTAGAAGCTTTTTATTTTATGCGTTAGCTCTCTATAATATTCTAATTTTATGAGGTAATTTTCCTGAATATTCTGTACAGGGTCAAGTAAATTTTTGTTGGTGTAAATGAACATCAACATTGTACAATCTTAGCAACACTATATCGACTTGCGCCCTTTTTCCGAAAAGCCTCTTCAGGACGGATGCACGTAATTTTTAATAGAAGCATCGGTGGTGAAAAAATGAATAAGAGAAAACCACCTAGGACTTATAGTTATACACGACACAACTGCTGATGGTTAAAGCATCCTCAGATGATACACCTCCCCTAAATTTCCTTTAACAGAGAATACAAGAGGTAATTTTGTCCATTTCAAAACAAATTCCAGGTCTGTATTTTACTCTGAAATCAAGAAATTTTTGTCACACTTTAAGTCTAAAATTTTACGAATGAAGTCCCAATGAATAGCAAACTTGTGACAGTGTTTAGATTTGAACCTAACATTTCTTCCTGTGCCATTTTAATCCATCCTTATGAACTTTACTTCAGAGGATCTTTGGCAATTAGGATAATCGATTCCACTTATTCCATAAATCAATCTAAGTACATAATTCCTACGTGAAATCTCGTCTTTGATTCCTGATAGAAAAACAATATTTGCGGGTTCATAAATAAATGATAGCATGACCTGAAAAAATGGTAAAAAAATGACTTAATATCCTAAGCATCGTATTGCAATTGAACTCACAATCGCTCAAGAGTGGCGTCAAACTTATGCAACTTCCGAGCAGCGGCGCTCGTAGATTTCAGAAATGGGCGTTTTGCGTTTTCGGAATCTATTCGGCGTTGCGAAATTAATTTAGCTCCTCGAGGGTAATTTTACCGAAAGAAGGACTGCAAGAAATGGAGTCGGCAGACAAAGCTGGACACTTATGAGTTATGGTGAAAACGCCTTTGTTTGGAAACGATGGAATGTCGAAAAAACTAATTTGTTTTCGGCTGTGAGACGAGACGACTGAGACGTGGGGGCCAGGGGCCGAAATCAATTGCCATTCATCGCAGAGTTGAGTGGATTCGAGAATATTCAAAAAAGGAAATTAATCGGAGAAGTGCGTTTCATTAATTCACATCCGAATTGACCGAGTGACAAGTCCCAATGCGCCGTCGTCGCGCCGTCGCGCGCGCTGGAGTCAGTGCCGTTAATTGGTGACTCTTGAGAGGAGATTTACCTCCAAGGTTGCCTAATCTGAAAAGAAATCAACCCTCTATTATGTCAAGATTGGCTGAAGAATTCATTTTAAGGCCGAGGTCCTACTTTAAGTGTTAGATTTTGCAGGGTGTCCACTAAAACAGGCTGGTCAAAAATAAGTTTTTTTACAGTATGTTTTCAATACACTCTCGAGAAATTCAGTACCTCCTCCAACAGAACAAATCCGTACTTCTCAGTACCTCCATTTGAAGAAATAAGAAAAATGACACAAAATTTAAAAACATTCCGGACGTTTTTGCGAAATTTCCGCATTTTTTCAGTACTTCCGGACCTCCCTTAAAATATAAGTACTATTTCCGGACTTTCCGAAAATTCCGAACTTGTAGACACCCTGTTCTGTATCATCGTGAAAATCTGAGCAGAATAAGAGATAGTCGCGCTTTTCGTAGACATGTCTGCGGTGAGGTTGAGGACAGTGGCGGAACCGACTGCCGCTTCCTCGTTGACTTTTTTTCGAGACAGAGACCCGGACGAAACCCACAACGGCGGAGCCCATGACTCCATCAGGCGCGGGCGACGGAAGCCGGGAAGCGGACGAAAGTTCTAAAATTGCAACTCGGGTCGGGAGCGGCGCGGCGCCGGCGTCGGCGATTATTCAAATCTGTACTTGAGTGCGTTTATTACCTCGCTGATGAGAGATAATGGTTTATCATTCGCGGCCGCTGAGCCGATGCCTGATGCCTGCAAACGCGGAAGGAGGCAGGCGTCACGGTGTTTTGCCGCATGTAAATTTAATTAACAGTGTTTTTTGCCCGACCCGCCCGAGTGGCTTCGTGACTAGGAACTCCGCCCCGGAGTGGAATTTTAGTCAGAATTTTCGCCCGGATCCCGGCTCCCGGTTCCCGCCCGAAATGCTCCTCGGGAGTCCGGCGCCGAAAACGAGGTAGCCTCGAACTTCCGTGAGCTTGCGAGAAAGTGGCGGGTAAACTCGGTGAAAATGCCGCGCAGCACAAACCTTTGAAACAGATATCGCACTCGGGGCACCGCCAAATTTCGCTCTAGGTAGAGCCGGGTAATCTTTTACGGCAGTGGTTGTGGGACAATTGGACTACATTTTTCAATTTGGAACGATAAATTCTAGCCCGGTTTAAAAACAAAGTATGTGCTATTAGTTTCCATATCCACGTAAATGTTTTACCAGAAGAGCCAGAATTTATAGTTCCAAATTGCAAAATGCAAGTCCAATTGGCTTCGAGTGTTGTTAGAAAACCAACA